GAGCGGCTCAGAGTGGAGGGACGTCAGGCTGTAAGGAGACTCAGGCACAGGGTCCAACTCCTATGTTTTCTGCCTGGGATGCACATCCCCCTCAGCTGATTTTAACTGCTTCTTCTGAACTTGGCAAGGCTGTTCCACCTGGCTCCCCTCCACTGCAGCCCATGCAGCCACGTTGAATTAGGCCAGTCCCCTGTGCTCCCATAGAGGAACCGGGATACGGCCTAAGGTCACCTCATACCAACTGTGTGTCCTTGGGCAAGTCTCTGAAGTTCCGCAGCCTAGTTTTCCCACCTGTTGGGTGGGGAGCATTACACCTTGTCAGGCTGTGAGACTAACATGAGATGATGCAGGTGAAGGGCTCAGCATAGCACCTGGGCAGAACGAGCTCCCTCTGCCTCCGGTGTATGAGGTCTGCCAAGACATTCACAGGTTAAAGCTTAAAGAATCTCGAAAGATTACCCATTTCAGGTTGCCATTTTACAGACACAAACAAAACTTAAAAGGAGAGGGAGGGTGACTAGGCTGCCTCTGAGGCAGTAACAAGAGCTAGATGAGAACTCGGGTGTCCTGGCGGGTGTCCTGGTGACCAGTCCGCCCAGTGGCCCCCAGGTCCCTAACCCAAATGTTCCCTATGCAGCCCCAGACTGGGAAGAGAGCACAGGTGGAGGTGAGCACACAGAATGGCAGCCGTCACCTGCCTTTAAGTACACGTCCAGTTGTGGGAGGTGAAGAAGACAAAAGCCAGGCAGGGAAAGCCTCACCCTCTCACCAAACTCCAAACTAATGCCACAGAGAGCAAATGCCAGTGTACTGCCCAGAGAATCCCTCATTCCATCTTTGCTCCCGGCTTCTAATGACAAGCTTGCTGTTTTGAGGCGATGTGAACAGAGGATGGAGTTCTGGAGAAGCTGGAAGATGCTGGGACACAGCCTGGAACCCCGGCAAGGCCAAGCTCTCCAGGCCTGGAGTTCAGCTCAGGTTCTACACTTTACTGGAGGCTCCCTGGTCACTCACCTCTCCTCCCCATTCTCATCCAGAGGGCAGAATTGATGATGCCCACTTTGGGGACTGTTGGATTAGTGAAGGAACCACGATGCCACTGACAACCATTGAGTTCTTAATAAATAATTTACTTGCTAAAAATCCTGTTTGATTTTGTTCCAGTTCTACCCACTTGCTTTGTGACCCAGGCCACATTGCCTCCTGAGAGTTTGACAGGCAACGTAAGTCAAAAAATGCAGGAAAGTCCTCTATAAGCCAAGGACCATCAGCAGCTTTTCTGCATTTGGGCTCCCCACAAAGATTAGAATACTAGAGCTGGACGAAATTGCGGCAGTATGTCACCCCACACGGACTTTCATGAGGCTATTAGTCAAGCCTCCTTCAGCTCAGCAACAGCTAACCAAATCCATCTGGTACAATGGGTGTCTCTGGGTTTTCCAGCCTCTCAGCCCACTTTTATGTAGACCCAAACAAAAACCCTAGTGAGAGACAGCGTAAAATGCAAGCAGGCTGACCTCCCTTTCAGAGAGAGAGCAAAAACCACACCAGGGGCTAGGGCTTTCCGCCCTGTAGCCTCGCAGACACACCCAGACTGGCAGCAGTGGGGGCCCCCCTGCTACCCTGGGAGGAAGAGCCCCACACTCTGCCTGCCTCTCCCAGAGCACTGGACCCATTTTCACAGTCTCCAGGGGCCCATCCTTCTGCCAAAGAGCTTTCAGCCAAACCCATCCAAGGCATAAGGCCAGAGGGTTCCACCAACAGCCCCCTAAGTGCTTCCATCTCCTCCTCCCTCCATGCTGAATAGCACCAGTTGGGTGATTCCTCCAGGTTAAGTTATGGGCCTTCTTCGAAATCCTTCCTCAAAACCTGTTGATGGCTCCCCACTGGGAGGGGCCAGGATATCACATGGCTCTTTGTGGACCACTTTTAATACAGTGACACATTTAATTCTAACACCCAAACAACTGCCAACTAGCAGAAAGTTTTTTTGTTTTGAGACAGAGTCTCACCATGTCACCCTTGGTAGAGTACTATGGCCTCACAGCTCACAACAACCTCAAACTCTTGGGCTTAGGCGGTTCTCCTGCCTCAGCCTCCCAAGCAGCTGGGACCATAGATACCCGCCACAACACCCAACTATTTTTTTTGTGTTGCAGTTGTCACTGTTGTTTTAGCAGGCCCGGGCTGGGTTCTAACCTGCCTGCTTCGTGTATGTGGCTGGCACCCTAACTGCTGAGCGATAGGCGCTAAGCCTAGCAGAAAGTATTTTTAAATATTCAATGAAATCACTTCATATACAGGCAAAACAAAAGCAGTGTAGGGTCAGTGGCTGTGACCTCCCTTTGTATCTTCTGTTCACTTTGGAATCTAATCACATTCCCAAGAAGACAAAGGAGTAGAAAGAAGTATTCAAGAAACACGTAAGATTGGGAAAATTCTATTGATTAACTTGTCCTGCAAATTAAGAAAGACTTCTACAGTACAATATTCACAGTACCACCCCTGCACCAGCTCCCATAATAGCAGTGTTCTTTGAGAGCAGAGGAACCACTGATCTCTGAGGGAAAACGACCTCCTCAGCCTGTTAGTCAAGGTCTACAATCTAGTCTCAGCTAATTACCACCCTCGACCCCAACCCCAGACTGTCTCTGGCGTCCCCACCAGCTCTGATCTGTTTCCACTTTGGCCTCCACCCACCCCCTCTCCCCCCAGGGAGCCTCTCTGAACATGCTGACCATGCTGAGCTCCTGGTCTCTGCTCTTTCTCCTGTCTCATCTCCTCAAACCCTGACTCTCATTTACAAGCTGTCTGAATCTAGGCAAGTCATATAACACTGTGAGCCTCAGCTTCCTCATCTGTAAAAGAGGAATGGTAATATCATTTTACTTATGGGGTGTTGCGAGGACTGAAAGGGGTTTAATACGTGTAAAGTGCTAGAACAGTAAAAATAATTACTTTATGCTATGATGATGATGACTTCTACACAGCAAACACTGGTAAGTGAACAGGTGCTTGGGGCTGGGGCAGGATAGCCAGGACAGAGGGAGAAAAAGGCAGAATGACCAAGCAGTGCAACTCTGAGGCAAGGAGTCATGCAGGCTGGGATGGCCTCCCTGAGCCACCTTCTCCTGGGGGGCCCCTGCAGCTCTCACCTCTGCCATCTCTCCTGCCTCCCAATTACAGCAGCCAATAGAGACGAGGGGTAGATGCAGCTGCCCCTGAGCAAGGCTAGCAGATGTTAACCTTGGAAGGAGCCTCACAGGTGCAACAAGATACAGGAATTACTTTCACGAGTGATTCGAGCCATGTGGCCATGGACAAGTCACGGTCTGTGCCTCAGTATCCCCAACTGTACTCCAGGGGGCTGACTAGATGATCAGTGGGTGCTTCACATTCTAGGATTCCATGATTCTAACACAGACTCACTTGCAAAAAGGGATCATTTTACTGTTCTCTCATCTCATTAAAAGAAGGTTAAAATGCCAAGGACAACTATTTATGATTCTTTTAGATAGGATCTTGCTCTATAGCCCAGGCTAGAGTGCAGTGGCATGATCACAGGAACCCCAATCTCCTGGGCTCCAGCAATCCTCCTTCCTCAGACCCCCCTAAGCATGCACCACCACACCTGGCTAACATTTCTATTTTTTATAGACATAGGGTCTTGCTTTTGCTCATGCTGGTCTCAAGCTCCTGGCTTCAAGCAATCCACTTGCCTTGGCCTTCTGAAGTGCTGAGATGAGCCACCACACCCAGCCCAAAGATAACTTTTAAAAGAGTTTCTTCTGGCTCGGCACCTATGGCTCAACCAGCTAGGGCGCCAGCCACGTACACCTAGGGTGGCGGGTTCGAATCCCCAGCCTGGACCCGCCAAACAACAATGACGGCTGCAACCAAAAAAATGGCCGGGCGTTGTGGCGGGCGCCTGTGGTCCCAGCTACTTGGGAGGCAGAGGCAGGAGACTCGCTTGAGCCCAGGAGTTGGAGGTTGCTGTGAGCTGTAATGCCACGGCACTCTACCCAGGGGGACAGCTTGAGGCTCTGTCTCAAAAAAAAAAAAAAAAGAGTTTCTTCTGTGATTTGCATAAACTGGTTAGCAAAAAGAAAAAAAATGTGTTTCACAGCAAGTGATTAAGACACAGATTAGAAAGGGTCCAACTAGTCAGTTTTAGGAAGGGACCCAGGCTGACCACACAAAGAGACGGCCCAGGGTCTCTGCCCCTCCCTTCCTTCATCACTGACCCAGGTCCATACTCCTGCAGATCTGCATCAGGAGGGCAGTTCTGTCCCCTCTGCTCGCCTCCCTACCCATGCTTTCCTGTGAACCTGTTAAAAGACTCACCATCCTCTGATCTTGGGCCTGCACCAGGACAGACTACAGCCCCTGGTGATGCTCTGGGCCTCGGCTGGAGCTAGGGCAGCGGAATGAGAGGGCCAGAGGTGATCACACATTCTGCTGACTCATGGGCCTGGCTGCTTTCTAAAAGAGTCCAAAGGAAGCTTATAGGAGGGCAAAAGAACGGCCAGAGCATTTTCTGGGCAGGATTTTAAACATTTATGAGAAAACCAAACTACCCGTTTGTGTAAGAGGCCATAATGTGTCTCAAAGAGGCTGGTCCTTCTCTACTCTCCCCTTTTTACAGACACAAAGTGCTATAAGCTGACAAAGCCTTAAAATGAGACGAAAAATTAAATTTAACTTAAGCCAACTAAACATTTGGTAGGGTCAGGTTTAAGTCAGGTCTGCTTCTGTCACATTACCTCTGATGTTCTGAAGACTGGAGCATGTTTGAGATAATACTCACGCTTCGTAGCCAGGCTTCTTCAACCTAGTTCCCTTTTTTATAAAACACGCCCTTCTATGCAACTAGCTGGTAGGAACAGTCCTGTTTACAACCTTGCCTAAAATAAAACACAGAGCTCTCCATGAACAAGACAGGGAAAGAAAGAATAAATGAATTTTTACTCCCTTTCTTTAAATTTCTCTTTAAGAGGCTCGGACAGGCTTTATTATAGATTTTATTACATAATTAGAAAATTTCAAAAAATAATTGTTTGGAGCCACAAATAGTTAAAAATAAACATAACAGTTTCATAAAAAAAGCATTATGGCATCTTTTAGAAATTTTTCCTTGAATTATGAAATGTAGCTCTCCACGCTTTCCAATGACATAATCCATGAAGTTCTGTGATTCCGGCTGAATACTCTGACACTGTTTTTCTTCTTAACATGTGATCATGATTCATTTTTTCTTCAAAATCTCAGTCATTTCAGGAACTACCTGTGAATTTAAAAAAAAAAAAAAGTAATTAAGCAACTTGCACCTTCACTGTGATATACTCACAGCTCCTTAAGTACAAAACAGCCAAACAAATGAACAAACCCCAATGCAAATCACTGCTGAGGCACAAAACCTCCCTTCTGCCCCATCCCAGAGCTCCATGCTCTCCTGTACTCTCCTCCCACCTGGGGGAGGGCCAGGCTGCCCTGGACACAGGGATGCAAGGCCCAGAGCCTGCTCATTCCCCTGGACTGACACACCACACACTTCAGAAAGGCACCATAGGAAACAGGAAGTTGACTGTCTTATCTGGGCTAAGAGCAGTGTTTTCCACCTTCGTGTTCTCCCTGGCTTCCTCCTACCCTTCCTGCAGTCCTGGTTTCCTTCAGAGTCCACACTGAGGTCTCTGCTTAGTCATGACTCCCGTCAGCCTCCTCTGCTGCTTGTTCTCTCGCTGTCATCTGTTCATTCACTTTTCATTTTACACACATTCTGGTTGCTAGTTCTTAGCACGGTGCTATCATCTGGCATAAAGAAATGTGCTGCACGCTGAACGTTCAGTATTACTGCTCTTTATTAAAATCAAGACCTTGTGCTAATGCAGTGGTGCTGGTCAGCAGACTCAGTAAGAAATCAAAGCAAGGGCAACTGCCCAAGTTGGCTTCCGCTTTAAAAAGGATTAGTGACTAACCCTTAGTCTTGGCAATGAGCGGCTGCAACTGGAGCCTCCAGTGCAGAGCTGCTTAGTGACTGCCGGGACAACAGAGGGGAGCCACACCGGGGGATGCAGGCACTGTCACACAGACATTATGAAAACCATTCCAGCCACTTGTGTAAAATATCAATTACTCAGTCTTCTGAGGGGCTGCTGGCTTTCTGAGCTCACAAAGATCTCGGCTGAACTCGCCACTGATGAATATAGCCTCTCAATTATTTAAGAGAGCTACATTTCCATTAGGTGGAAATAATGCGTTCGTACAAAATTTATTAAGGAAATTGTCAACATGTTGTTTCTTCCGAATGTCACTTTGTCTCCAGCCTATTAAAAGGCCCGTGTTTACCATGGAGCCAGCAGGCAATTGCTCAGGGCGGCATTAAGTGCTGGCACCACTTCTCCTAGCTTCCCTCCTCGGCAGAGAGACCATGAGCTCATGCCAGTCACACAGATGACGTGCTAACGGAACCCCACGTGGGACCTATGAAAAATAGGCTAGAGCCCAACTTCTTTCCTCAGGAAGCAAAATATTAATTGGGTTTAGAATGTTCACTTCTTAAAAATCTTACAGACTGTCCTACTAAAACACTCCCACAAAAGGGCTGAGAGGACTCTTCTCTCCATCACCTGTATCTTTTTTATTAGACCAACTGCAGGCTTTCCAACCTTACCAAACACTGCCTTATTTACGGGAAAAAGTGCTAACTTGGGTTCACTGAGTGCCTGAGCACACTGACACATCTGGACCTTATTTCTATTCTCTCTTAGATACTGCAGAGGCAGCTCCCTACCCACGCAGACCAAATAAGGGGGCATTTAAGTCGGAAAAAATACAAAACACTGATACAAACCATAATATAAACAAGTCTCACTGACTTAGTACTTCCTCAGGAGTGCCTGCCACCATGAGAGTGACGAGAGGCTCCAGCTGGACACCTGCCCACAAGGAGCTCTGCATCCCAGCTGCTGAGAACACACAGAAGCCTACAAAGCACCAACAGGAAGGTGCTCATCTTATACCGGAACATAGGAGAATGAGGATAACAGCATTAAATGCTACAAAATCAGGAGTTTACAGAAGAAAGAGCGGTGTGGATCAGGGAAATGCAGAACCACCACCTAAGCAACCTGGGCAAAAATGAGAGGACAGAGATAAATGCTGCAGGTCCCACAGAGAGCAAGAGATTCTAATGACTGTCATGAACAGCTGCCCTGAGAAGAGAAACAGAAGATCTGAAAAGATAGGGTGGGATGCCAAGTCCATTCAATGGGGACAGAATGGTCTCTTTAGCACATGAGGCTGGGACAGATAAGATATCACATGCAAAAGAAGCTGGACCTCTACCTCACACCATGTAGAAAAACTAACTCAAAATGGATCAACAGCCTAAACATAGCTAAAACTCCATAAAACTCTTAGAAGAAAGCATCAGGGTGAATCTTCACAACCTTAGATTTGGCAATGGGTTTTTACATATGACCACAAAGTCATGGTAATTGAACAACCTACTGCTTAACAATTATTGGGTCAAGGAGGAAATTAAGATGGAAATCAAAAGATTCCGCAAACTTGATCACAAAAGGGACACAAGTTATCAAAATTTATGGGATTCAACAAAAGCAATCCTAAGGGGAAAAATTACAGCTTTAAATGCCTCAGGCTTGGAGCCTGTGGCTCAAGTAGCTAAGGCTCCAGCCACATACACCTAAGGTAGTGGGTTCGAATCCAGCCCAGGCCCACCAAACAACAATGATGGCTGCAACCAAAAAATAAATAAATAAATAAATAAATAAAGCCGGGCGTTGTGACAGGTGCCTGTGGTCCCAGCTACTTGAGAGGTTGAAGCAGGAGACTCGCTTGAGCCCAGGAGTTGGAGGTTGCTGTGAGCTGTGATGCCACAGCACTCTACCCAGGGGGACAGCTTGAAGATCTGTCTCAAAAATAAATAAATAAATAAATGCCCACATCCAAAAGACAGAAAAATCACAAATCAATAATCTAATGAATCCTCTAAAGATATTAGGAAAGGAAGAGAAATAACTAAAGTCAAACAACTAAATGAAATAAAAACCCAAATGAAACCAGAAGACTAATAAAACAAAAACTTGGGGCTCGGCGCCTGTGGCTCAAGCGGCTAGGGCGCCAGCCACATACACCTAAGATGGCAGGTTTGAATCCCCAGCCCGGGCCCGCCAAACAACAATGATGGCTGCAACCAAAAAATAGCCGGGGGTTGTGGTGGGCGCCTGTGGTCCCAGCTACTTGGGAGGCTGAGGCAGGAGACTCGCTTGAGCCCAGGACTTGGAGGTTGCTGTGAGCTGTGATGCCACAGCACTCTACCCAGGGGGATAGCTTGAGGCTCTGTCTCAAAAAAAAAGAAAGAAAGAAAAAAACAAAAACTTGGTTCTTTGAAAAGATAAACACAATTGATAGGCCTCTCATTAGATTAACCAGAAATAGAAGAGAAAGGACCCAGATAAGCTCAATCAGAAATGAAAAAGGAAATATTACAACTGATACCACAGATATACAAAATATCATCTGTGAATAAATTTTAAAACATTGAGAGAATGGACAAATTACTGGAAACCAACAAACTCCCAAGGCTCAATCAGGATGAAACAGACTCCTGAAGAGACCAGAAATGAGCAATGAAAAGAGAAGCAACAATAAAAAATCTCCCAACAAAAAAATGTCCAGGGCCCGATGGTTTCACAGCCCAATTTTATCAGACCTACAAAGAACTGCTATCAAAACTGCAGAAAATTATTTCATAACATCAAGAAGAAAAGACTCCTCCTCAACTCATTCTACGAAGCCATTATCACTTTGATACCAAAGCCAGGAAAAGACACAACAACAAAAAATAAAGAAAACTATAGACCAACATCATGTATGAATATAGATATGAAAATCCTCAATAAACTCCTAGCAAACCAAATTCAGCAGCACATCAAAAAAATAATCTATCTAGCCAAGGATTCAAGGATGGTTCAACATACTTAAATCCATAAATGTGATTCACTACATAAATGGAAGCAAAAAATAAAGATCATGTGATCTCTCAATAGATGCAGAAAAATTTGGCACCCCTTTTATAATAAAAAGTCTTAACAAAATAGGCATAGATGGAACATAGTTGAAAATTACAAAAACTAATATGACAAACACACAGCCAACATCATACTGACCACAGGAAAGCCGAAAGCATTCCCACTGAGAACTGGAACAACACGAGGATACCTATGTCACCACCTCCATTCAGCACAGCTCTGGAAGTCCTACCCAGAACATCAGGCAAAAGAAGGAAACTAAGGGCATCCAAGTGGGGAAAGAGGTCAAACTATCGCTCTTTGCTGTTAAAAATATCCATATAGCCCAAAATGATTTAAAGATTCAATGCAATCCCCATCAAAATACCAACATCATTTTTTGCAAATATAGAAAAAGTAACTCTATGCTTCGTTTGGAAGAAGAAAGAGCCTACATAGCCAAAGCAACCTTAAACAAAAGGAACAAATCTGGAGGCATCACTTTACCAGACTTTAAACTACAAGACCACAGTAACCAAAACTGCATAGTACTGCCACAAAAATAGAGCCATGGACCAGTGGAACAGAACAGAGAATCCAGGTATAAAGCCATCTACATAGTGCCATGTGATCTTTGACAAAACAGACAACAGTATACACTAGGGAAAGAATCCCTATTAAATAAATGGTGCTGAGAAAACTGGACAGCCACACCTAGAAGAATGACAGGATCCAAATCTCTCACCACTCACAAAAATTAATTCAAGATGGATAATAGTTCTAAGCCATGAAACCGTAAGAATTTTGATGAAAATGTTGGAAAAATTCTTAATCAGGGTCGGGCACAGTGGCTCACGTCTAAGCACTCTGGGAGCCCTCGGTGGATTGCTTGAGCTCACAAGTTTGAGACCAGCCTGAGCAAGAGTGAGATCCCATCTCTAAAAATAGCCGGGTGTTGTGGCGGGCTCCTGATAGTCCCAGCTACTCGGGAGGCTGAGGCAAGAGAATTGCTTGAGCCCAAGAATTTGAGGTTATTGTGAGCTATGATGTCACAACACTCGACAGAGGGCGACAAAGTGAGACTCTGTCTCAAAACAAAACAAAACAAAAACAACTCTTAATCAGTCTAGGCAAAGAGTTTATAAAGATAACCTCAAGGGCAACCACAGCAATAACAAAAACAAGTAAGTGGGAACTGATTAAACTAAAAGGCTTTTGCATAGCCAAGGAAACAAACACAGCAAACAGACAACCACTGAAAGGAAGAAAATACCTGCATGCTCTACATCCAACAGAGGGCTAATCACTGGAATCTACAAAGAACTCGAGCAAATCAGCAAGGAAAGACCCAAACAGCCCAATAAAAAGTAGGCAAAAGACATGAAAGAAGCTTTTCACAAGATAGACTAATTATCAATATACTCATGAAAAATGCTCAGCATCACTAATCACAGGGAAATGCCGATCAAAACCACTGTAAGCTATCATCTAACCTCAGTGAGAATGGATTTGATCAAAAAGTTCCAAAACAACAGATGCTGGCATGGATGTGGATACAGTGTTGGTAGGACCTGCAAACAAATTAATGCAACCTCTATGGAAAATAACATGGAGATTCCTCAAAGAACTCAAAGTAGACCTACCATTTGATCCAGCAATTCCACTACTGGCATTTACCCAAAGGGAAAAAAGTCATTTTATCAAAAAGACACTCGTACTTAAAAGTTTATTGCAGCACAATTCATAATTGCAAATATGTGGAATCAACCCAAGTGCCCATCAATCATGAGTGGATTAATGAAATGTGGTATATGTACACCATGGAGTACTACTCAGCCATTAAAAAACATGAATTAATACAGCTATCTGGATGGAACTGGAGATGGGAAGCGTCCCAAGAACAAACACCACACGTACTCACTATTAAACTGGAACAAACTGTTCAGCGCTCATGGGCACAGTTGTAAGTCAAACTCAACAGAAATCATGTGGGTGGGAGGAGATGAGGAGATGGGTGAAATCACACCTCTGGGCAGGTACAGTGGACACTACCTGGGTGATGGGCACACTTACAACTTTGGAGCAGTACAAAAGCAATCCACGTAACCAAAACATTTATATCCCTGTAATACTGTGAAATTTTTGAAAAGTAAAAGGATAACCTACAGAATAGGAGATTATTCTGGAAATATTTGGAAATCATGTATCTGAGAAGTGTTCAGTATCCGGAATGTATCATGACTCCTACAAGTCGACCAAAAGACAAATGACCCAACTAGGAAATGGGCAAAGTATCTGGATAGACCTTTCTCCAGAGAAAATCCACGAATCGCCTCTAAGCACATGAAAAGATGCTCAGCATCACCAGCCCCTGGGGAGGTGCAAATTACAACCACAAGTAGACAGCACTTCACACCCACTAGGATGGCTATCATCAAAAAGACACAGTAACGATTAACAAGCATATGGAGAAACTGGCCCCCTCATTTTTGATAAGAATGCAAAATGTGACAGCCATTTTTGTTTTGTTTTGTTTTTTGAGTCAGGCTCTCACTCTGTCTTCCAGGCTGGAGTGCAGTGGCCCAGTCACAGCTCACTGCAGCCTCAAACTCCTGGGCTCAAGAGATTTTCCTACCTCGACTTCTCAAAGTACTAGGATTACAGGTATGAGCCACCATGCCCACCAGGATAGCCACTCTGAAAACAGTCTGACAAGTCTTCAAAATGTTAAATATAAAGTTACCACGTGACTAAGCAACTACATTCCTAGACACATACTCCAAAGAATTTAAAGCCTATGTGTGCAAAAAACCTTATTCATGAATGTTCACAGCAGCATTATTTATAATAGCCCCAAAGGGAGAAAACCCAAAATGTTCATCTAATGATAAATGGACAAACAAAATGTGGCCCATTCAATTGATATTTGGCAAGAAAAAGAAGCATGTTACAACACGGATGACCTTGAAACCTTATGCTGAAAGAGCCAGCTACAAAACACCTCCTGTTACATGATTCCATTCCATGAAAGGTCTAAGACTGGCAAATCTATAAAGAAAGAAAGGAGCTAGGAGCTGGGGTACAGGGGGTAGTGTAGAATAGGAACTGAATGCTAATCGGTGTGAGTTTCTTCACAGTGCGATTAAAATGTTCTGGGATTACACAGTGGTTGCATAACTTGGTGAAGATACTAAAAACCACTGAATTGTACATTTTAAGATGGTCGGTTTTATGGTATGCGAATTTTACCTTGGTAAAGCTGTTACATTAAAAAAAACACACACACACGCTCAAGTTGTACCCTATGTAGCCCAACTCTTGGGCTCAAGCGATCCTCTTGCCTCAGTTTTTCTATTTGTAGTAGAGACAGGGTCTCGCTTTTGCTCAGGCTAGTCTCAAACTCATGAGCTCAGGCAAGCCACCTGGCATTGGCCTCCCACTTTAGTCTGTTGCTCCAGAATAAAGTACTGTGGCGCCATCATCGCTAGCAACAACTTCAAACTCCCGGGCTCAAGTGATCCTCCTGCCTTAAGCTCCCAAGCAGTTGGGACTATGGGTGCCTACCACAACACCCAGCTAGTTTTTCTATTTTTAATAGAGATGGGGTCTCACTCTCACTCAGGTTTCGAACTCCTGATCTCAAGGGATCCTCCTGTCTTGGCTTCCCAGAGTGACAGGATTACAGGCATGAACTACTGTGCCTGGCTGACTTAATTATATAAGTATTAAAATATTCTCTTGAGAAAAAACAAACGTCAACTGCAGTAGATGACTATTTGCAAACATGTCAATATGGTACATGCAGAGGTTCAGAAAGTTTTTAGGTTTTTTTTTTAAGACACAGAGCCTCACTTTTGGTGCCCTTGGTAAAGTGCCATGGCATCACGCAGCTCACAGCAACCTACAACTCCTGGGCTTAAGTGAGTCTCTTGCCTCAGCCTCCAGAGTAGCTGGAACTACAGGCGCCCACCACAATGCCTGGCTATTTTTTTGGTTCCCGGGGCCTGGTTTGAACCCACTACCCTCGGTATATATGGGGCTGGCTGGTGCCCTACTCACTGAGCCACAGGCACCGCTCAGAAAGTGTTTTTAAATAAAAATATTTACCCCTCTATCCGTACCTAACTAAATTCTTGTTACAAAGTTACCATCATAGTAACAAAATATTTTTCTTTTTCATGCTAGCTACCCTTCCCATTAGGACAGAGGTTCTCAACCTGTGGGTCATGACCCACAGGAACTGTATTAAAGGGCCACCGCATAAGGAAGGTTGAGAACCACTGCATTAGGACATTTAAGTGGCCAAATGACTGTTATTATTGTTTGTTCTTATACACCTAGGCCAGGCAACAGGAACAGCTGACCTACTTGAACCTCAAATTTCAGATATAGGGTCACTGGGAGAGAGTGTACATTCTTGCCAAGCAAGATCTCCTCTGGGCCTCCTGAAGGGAAGGGTGCTCGACAATGAACCAGAGTAACAGCCCCATCCTAGTCTCTACATGCAGCTGAGCCATTACTCAGGGATCACCAAGCAGCTAAAGGAGCCCACGTCCTTCCTTCACTGTGCATACGTGTACATTACACCAGGGTGCAAATGTGCTCTCAACGCGCACTCACTAGTTCACCCAGATGATCACTTACAATTCTGGTGAAGCTATGGTAATGGCCAATCCTCGTGCTATGAGGGCCACCCTAGCTCTGTTCTCAGGCTGCAGACTTTTCACTGAAGCCCACAGCCCCTTGCTGTGGTTTGGCGTGAGGGGTTCCTCATTCCAGCAAACCCCCTCCTAGGGTGGGATGCTACTTGCAGAGTGTCACCTCACGCATGTGTGATTGCTGCATAAGGAATCTAGCAGCTTTAGGCAGGCCAAGGGGGAAAGAAACAGCCTGGCCATGCAGGGGTGATACATAACCTTAAAGGTCATGACTTTCAAATGTGCCATATGATAGCAGGTGCTTATCACCTGTAATTCACTAAGTTAATTAGTATTATTAAAGTCATTTTTCTTGTGGGGAGGGCAGATATGGAATTAATGGCTGAGTAGTAAGAATACTCAAAAGTGAAGAGTGTGAGGAGTAAGAAAGCAATGTTCTCCCTACACCTGTCGTGTTAGGAAGGCCTTTTAACCCTGAAGCACAGCAGGGTATTCTCTCTGAGTCAAATAAGCTGGACTGCATCACTCTGCTGTTCTCCTGAAAAGTGCCAGTATCCTCAGCAAATCCTTGAATAAGGAGGTTTGGTGTTAATTTCTTTAGGGTACCTGCCAGATACGATTCTAGGTTACAGTTAGTCAAGTCACTTCACGCTGTGTGTTAACTTAGCACCTGAAACACCAAGAGCCACATGGATACTTTCAAGACAATTTGGACTCCTCCTTAAGGGGAAAGTTATAATAAACAACTTAATTTTAAGTAGGTGAGAATTGCATACCTATATTAACAGCATATATACAGACAGACACATAAACACAATGTTTTCTTTTAATAGCTTCATCCTTGACCAACTCTGAAAGGTTCTTAGATGATAATCTAGATAACAGCAATTTCTCTCAGGCCAGTTTACCTTAAATAAATCTGCAACAATTCCATAATCTGCCACTTGGAAAATCGGAGCTTCTGGGTCTTTATTAATAGCCACGATTGTCTGTGAAACAAAAACAAAGAGTTCGACTTTTATAAAGAAAATATACCACATAGACTAACAGTTCTATTTTAACTCCTCTTACATCATATTAATAATCTTAAAATGTTTACCAAATAAGACTAATCTGATATATTTGCACAAATACTATAAATTTATTAGAAGTTTCTGCGTTGGAATGTAGTGAAATTATTTCTTATCCACCATTAGCCCATCTCAGTATAGCTGGTATTAAAAGATACATTAAGTATGCCTAACTTAAAATATAGTATTAAAATTTTAAAATCAGCTGGGCAGTGTTGACTTATACCTGTAATCTCAACACTTTGAGAGGCAGAGGCAGGAGGATGGCTTGAGGCCAGAAATTGGAGACCACCTTGAGTAACAAAGTGAAGCCTCCCTTTCTACAAAAACAAATCTATACCCAAATTCACAGTCTTTGTGGCTCAACTATTCTGACCTCTATATTCTTTTTTTCCTTTTCTTTTTGTAGAGACAGAGTCTCACTTTATTGCCGTTGGTAGAATGCCGTGGCATTCCAGCTCATAGCAACCTCCAACTCCTGGGCTTAGGTGATTCTCTTGCCTCAGCCTCCCGAGTAGCCGGGACTACAAGCGCCTGCACAACACCAGGCTCGGACCTCTATATTCTCCACCCTATTTATTATTTTAGAATTATCATCTAGGTCTCTTCTGAGAATGTAAAAACCAATTATCTTGTCAGCCTTTTATTAAAGGAGAACTTTAAAATAAAAAAATTTAATTTATTATGTATATAGCAAATGTAATATAAGAAGAAAATTACTATGTCTATTATAAACCATCAAATGTTTCTCTTATAAAAATATCCTTTTTTTTTCTTTTTTTGAGACAGTCTTGCTTTGTCACCCTGGCTGGGGTGCTGTAGCATCATCACAGCTCACAGCAATTCCAAACTCCCGGGTTCTAGCGAGCCTCCTACCTCAGCCTCCCAAGTAGCTGGGACTACAGGTGCCTCCCATAATATCCAACTAATTTTTAGTAGAGAAGAGGTCTCATTCTTGTTCAGGTGGTCTCAAGCTCCTGAGCTCAAGCAATCCTCCTGACTCAGCTTCCCAGAGTGCTAGGATTACAGGCATGAGCCACTGCACCTGGCCTAAAAATATTCTTAAATGTGAATAGTAAAGAAATTATTAAGAAAATAAGGAGAAACAATCACTCAAAATCAAATTTTTGTTTGTTTTTGAGACAGAGTCTCAGTATGTTGCCCTCGGTAGAGTGCAGTGGCATCACAGCTCACAGCAACCTCAAACTCTTGTGCTTAAGCGGTTCTCTTGCCTCAGCCTCCCAAGTGGCTAGGTCTACAGGCATCTGCCACAACGCCTGGCTACTTTTTTTTGGTGCAGTTGTCATTGTTGTTTAGCTGGCCCAGGCTGAACCCACCAGCCTCAGTGTATGTGGCTGTTGCCATAACCACTGTGATATGGGCACAAAGCCAAAATCAAATCTTATATATCAATATCAGATTTATTTCTGTATTAAAAATAGCTTGGTATTCCCCACAGATTTCAATTAAAGTAAAATTAGACACTGACTGACATGTGGTTTTATTTTAATACCACAGTCAGTGGACAGTGGATTATGGTAATTCAAACTTATAAAAGTTTCTACCTGCCTGTTACTGTATCTTATGAAAATAGCTGGTATTAAAAGATACATTAAGTATTTTGATACAGCCTAACTTAAAATATAGGCTTCCTGACATCTGTAAAATTCCCTTAGAAGGGCTCCTAAAAAAGATGGGCAGAATATGTGAGAATATCTATCTGAGTTTGAAGCACAGTGTAATCCAGGTAACCGCCAATCCAGAGAGACGCCACATACATTCAGAGTCACAGTCAGAGATAACAGACGAGTTCCAAATATGAGCCCAAATCCAAAGGCACAAGGACACACACACATTGTGAACCACAGGCACTGATTTGCACTGAGGTATTTCTCTTCTGGGAATGTGTAACTTGCTTCACAGCCATAGCAGAGGTTTAATTAATTCATGATGGTTAATGATCTTCCTGGAGGCCACCTAGTCAAACATCTGACAGTTTAATCATCTGAAAGCTTTTCATTCTACTATATAAAGGTTATTTTTTAAGAAAGAGCACAATCATAGGCAAAGAATCACTACGGTATTTAAGAAAAAAGATGTAGGGGCAGTGCCTGTGGCTCAATGGGTAGGGCGCTGGCCCCATATCCTGAAAGTGGTGAGTTCAAACCCGGCCCCAGCCAAACTACAACAAAAAAATAGCTGGGTGTTGTGGTGGGCGCCTGTAGTCCCAGCTGTTTGGGAGGCTGAGGCAAGAGAATCACCTAAACCCAGGAGTTGGAGGTTGCTGTGAGCTGTGTGATGCCACAGCACTCTACTAAGGGCGATAAAGTGAGACTCTTATCTCTACAAAAAAAAAAAAAGAAAAAGAAAAGAAAGAAAGAAAGAAAGAAAAAGAAAAAAGATGTGAGCTAGTTGTAGTTTTTCAGATTACCAAAACAGTATTCCTGAGTTATCAGCTATAAATAGCTACGATGAAGTCTTACTTGTACCTGTGCTCTTTTCATAGCTCCTTAGAAGTTCATGCTCTTCCTCCTCACAGAATTTTGATTGTATTCAACCATATTATTATGGATATAGTTCAAAAAGTACTTTCATTACATTAATTCATCTGAAATAACAACCTAACCTTGTACTCATTCAACTGTACCATGATGCTAATTAAAATTGCCCTATAGGCGATGCAACTGTCAGAATTAAACCATTCTAATATCCCACGTAGAACTTAACCAAAATTACTACTAAAGACTGCCTGTCTCCTACATAAGACACTGACAACAGGGGCTGTGTCTTTGTTATTTAAGCATTCCCAACATCAAGTACAAGTAATGTGTTTAGCAAATACTTGTTGACCAGATGGAGAAATGAAGGCTAGGTTGGAGTTTATTCTCATGGATTGTCCCCCCAACACTGGCATCCTTATTTCAACTGTTCCCTATTTGCTTTGACACAACACTATCCAGTCTCTCTCATAATCCAGCTCTATTAGCATGGGGTGAGAATTTCCACCAGGATCTTTGACAGGCAAAATCTTTTATTTCAGAGAAGCAGAATTCTAGGTATATCTGAACTTTGTCTGGCTAAAAATGTATTTTAAAACTGCTGGTGCTGGAATGGTTGTTTTTCTTTTTAAATGTAGCAATCACATTTTCCCCACTGGCAATGATGTTTTCATAGCTCAGAAAGGGAAACTTGCCATTCAACTGTAAAATATGACTGGTTTTGGACCAATTCATTTAGAGCCTACAAAGAGGTAGTGCATACATTTCTTCAAGTTAGAAGTTAAGCCTGTTAAAAGTTTTATTATCTCTTATATCAAGCTTCCATCTGAATGGATAAATGCAGGAGTGTCAGAGGCATCTCAGACTTCATGAAAGATAAGTTCATAACTTAAAGTATACATTGTTATGCATGAATAAATGTGTCATATTCTGAAATATATGTTCACAGAATCATTACATAGGACTTCCAGATGTAGTTCAAGTAGCAAGTTAAAATCAAGTGTTTCCTTAATCACTGCATTTTGGACAATCACTGAGGTATTAAGTTGTCCTGATGCTCCAATCAAAAATGTGTTGGTCACACTTTGGTAACAACCCAGGAAGAGGCGCTCTGTTGACATATGAGGGTGAGACTATAAGGAAATCAGGGTGAACCAGAAAGAGAGAGAATCATGGATCAGAACCTCATAAACAAGTGAGATGGTGAGAATGTCATCAACTTGTTTAAGTCTTCTACCTGTATATTATTGGGGCTGAAGGGGATGTTAGTGATCACCATCTAACACCCACATAGTTGGACAAAGAGAGTGAGGTGTATACTATGCCTTCAGCTAGCAGTGGCGCTGAGACTCAGGTTGAGGCCTCTTTCCATGACACAGCACTGCCTCTCTGACCAACACTACATCTTAAGGCATGAACAGTAGCTCATATATATTTCTTTCAGTTCTTAGATCCATGTTAACATAAATGGGTCCAATGGAACTACACAGAAATATACAGTGAAACTCAAATTTTAAAATCTAGAAACTTTTCTTCTTAGCATCATTGTTGTGTACAATTACCTTGCTGTCCTTCATCCCAGCTAGATGCTGAATGGCTCCAGATATTCCAACAGCAATATAAAGTTCCTAAGATAAAAGAAATCACATTACTGATATGTACTTATATTAATACAAAGTGTCTGCTAATAGCAATTTAAGTCTTAGAAAAGATACGTTAAATAAAACAGATGCAACATGTGTTACTTAAACCAGGCTTTCCTTTCCCCTGGATGTTTTTAATCCACATTTCCCTTTTTTCTGTGAATTCCTATACTTGTGCTGGGATATTAATAAATATTGGATAGATAATGAAGATCACTGAGCAATTACTATGTGCCATACAAGTGTAAAGCATATTGTATTGAGTGTCTTAATCTCACAGTCAGGTCTGCGGCACTCATTTGAAGATCACTGCACAGCTCATCACGCACGAACATTCATGATGTACACACACTGTATATTAACACATGAACACAGACGCCCAAACCTACTCAACAGATCTTGACTTAGCTGCCTTCCCACAAAGGAATATTTGTTAAAATTGGTAATCAGGACATTAAACTTAGTATTTTGAAAAACCAGAAATATAATTCAGAATCAAGCGGTTCTAAACATATACACACAATTTCCCTGAATAAAAAATAACAAACTTCTTGAAAGGCAAGGGCTTAACCTCTATATTTCTGGCTCCTAACAAAAAGGCCTCTACACTGTCATTTCTCAGTAAATACTAAGGATGATATTTGCACCTCTTCTTGCCTCTCTGCTCTCAGTAATTACAAGGGGAATACAGACTTACTGTTCTGTTCCTTTATCTATAATTTTTTAAGTACCCAGGTTTGAAAATTAAAACTATCATCATGGCTTAGCACCTGTAGCATAGTGGTTATGGCACTGGCCACATATACACAGGCTGGCAGGTTCAAACCCAGCCCAGGCCAGCTAAACAATAATGACAACTGCAACCAAAAAATAGCTGGGCATTGTGGTGGGTGCCTGTAGTCCCAGCTACTTGGGAGGCTGAGGCAAGAGAATCACCTAAGCCCAGGAGTTTGAGGTTGCTGTGAGCTGTGAGCCACCACAGTCTATGTAGGGTAACATAGTGAGACTTTGTGTCTCAAAACAAATAAACAAACAAAAAACTATCATCATGAAAAACTGATTTATTAAGTGTTTAATTAAAAGAGCTTAGCTGCTTCATTCTGTCTACTAGGTGTAATTAAAGCTTCAACTGAAAACCTTTTCCCACACGTAAACTGAACTAACAGGTCCTGGCTTGGGTTAGAGGTATGCTCACCATGTAACTGAATGACACTACAGTTTTGTCACAACTGACAGTGAAGTCTCTCGTCAATCTGAGTAATATGTGGAAGATACTGAAGGTGGTTCTGTCACACTTAGTTTTACTGAAGGAGCGATACTTCAAAGCTAGTGACAGCGGCAGGTGGTCCCACCTTGTTTTCTGCACTGCATATTTTAACAACTGCTCACTCCAAAATATGAGGATCTTTCCACCAGCATCTGGAAATAATGTTAGTGCCTCCTAATATTATGATTTTTCATAGCACCTAAGTGTATATGGCCACTTACAAGTCAATTTCCCTCTTAGGGCCTCACTTTCTTTAATTATAAAACAGAAGAGTTTCAGCCCCAGCACTGGTGCTTATTTTAAAAGTCCCTAAGATACCTGAATGTATAGCCAGAGCTGAGGACCACTGCTTTAGGTGATCCTTCAGCCTCCTGGCAGTGTGAATCCTGTAACTGCCCAGCATGTTGGGGTCCATCCCTAGACCTTATCTTTAAAGGCATTAAGGGTCCAACTGCTTCCAGAGCAGCAAGATACCTACCACTGTGTTATGTGGCAAAGAGGAACAATCGAGTCCTCCAAGTGAGTTAATCATCTGAAAAGGAGCTGAGTTTGTTTTCTGATTCAATTTGCTCTATGGTTACCAAAAGCCTCAAGATAAATAAGAGCAATCTGGCTTAGAGAGACTGTGTTAGAGGGACAGCGCTTGTGGCTCAAAGGAGTAGGGCACCAGCTCTGTAGGTGGCGCGAACATAGCCCCAGCCAAAAACTGCCCCCCAAAAAAAGAGAGACCGTGTTTGAGTGGAGAAGCATACTGCAGAAAGGAAAACGCACGGGCACGGACTAAAAGCTATGCTGTGCAGGTCTACCTTGAATGTGTCCAGGGTGCCGGTTATGACCGCACACAGATGGACAATGCAATAAGGCCCTGGCTTTACGCTGTCCCCCACACATGGACATATACATGAATGATAAACAAGCATCTTTTCTTTGAAAAAGCACAACTATTTTCTATTTAATTTCAAGTGATAATTTTAAGGTTTAGTTTACTCTGACTAGCATTCCATTCATAAAGGGGCATTCATTAAACTGTTAATAAAAATATTCTTACTAAAGCTCACATTCAGGAAAACCAGGCCAACAAATTCTAATGTAAGGGTTTTTAAAGCAAGGTTTTAGCTAGGCAGGCAGATCCACAGAGCTGTCTCACTAACCAGTCTTTGAGGATTATTCTCAAAACAAGCGCTGGAAAAGATCAATAGTGCTATAAATGAGTCTTTCTGACATTCATGCCTACATTAAAATTCAACAAGTCTTAAAAGCTCCATTTGTATCATAAAACGCTAATAAAAATGTTGATTCATTCTGACAGTAAATATAAACATAATATAAATGAAATTGACTTTAAACCTCCCGCCTCTCCCAAAATGAATTCCATTAACTTTAACCATTAATGTCACTAAAGAAGTAACAAATTTGGGGCCAGAACAAACCAAAGGCAGGTGCTCCAGGGTCATTTCTACCTTTTTGATCAGCATCAACAGTCTAAAAGGATCAACAAGACCAATAGGACTTTATTCTGCTATCTTACAAACGTGTTTGTCTGAACAAATATAAAAGCCTTAAAACAATAGCCCCAAAATGAGTCCAGGGATTTTGGCTGTTGTTCTGAGGCTCAGAGCTCTCTCAGGCAGGAAGAGAGGCTTTTTTCTTCCTTTTTAAAAAACATGTACAGGCAATTAGACTAATATCCTAGGGATCCTCAAGGTTCAGAAAGCATTTTTGTATTCCAATAATAATAATTAGTATATACAAAACTCATCACAGATGCTAATTTATGGAGCACTTCAGATACTGCTTCACAAAGTAACAAGACAATCCCTGCCCCGAGGTACTTTCTGCTAAATCAGACAGTAAGATGATTTGTAGAGAAAATGAGAGACGCTGGAAGCCAGAACGGCAATTAAGTGCTCAAAAGATGTGGGATTAAAGGAAAGAACAGACCCAGAAAGAAGGAGAGCTAGTCCTGGAAGCCTTAGAATCTAGAGGATTGAGCGAAAGAACAGATCAACCCACATGGCTGGTAGCTGTTTGGGGTGATCACTCTGACGCGAGAACGGGGACGGCAGGAAGTCAGAGGAGAGGAAGAGGACCACACGTTATTCTGAAATACAGAGAAAAGATAGCTCATGCCTAACACAAACAAGAACTGGCAAAAGAAAACACAAATTTCTGTTTCTTGGCCAAAACCTACGAAAAACTATAGCTACAGACTCACCCAAAGAACGTAGGGGCTGAGGTCTAAACCACTTTACAGTGGGCTGAGATGGGAACAGCAACAGCACTCAGAAACTGTGCATCTGATGTGGTTTAACAGGGTTTGCAGGGGGAATATGATGCTGTGGTTAACAACTTAGGCTCTGAAGCCTCACTGCCTATGTTCAAATCCCAGCTCTGCCATCTGATAGGCACATGACTGTGGGCCAGTTGGGGTTTTAAGAACTCCTACTTCTTAGGGTACTATTTGAGGCTTCAGTCTTTAGCATAATATACGGTTTCCCAAGACACAATGGTATACATTGGTTGAGGTCTGTTCAAATATCGATTCTCTCAGCTGGCTAGGTGGGCTCCTGGGGTGGTCTCAGGACTACCAGGTACAGCTGAACAGGCTGTGCACTGAACAACTCTGGATGGATGCACCATGCCTATCACAGTCACTACAGACCTGCATTCTACGATAATTTTCCAACAGGTGCAGTAAAGTAACTGTCATGTCCTTCTCCCCCTTTGAGAAGTAAATAAACTTGTTACTACCTTTTACCCTAAATCTTTATGTTGAGGACTCCTTCTCCACCCATGCCGTGAGCTCCAGGTGAGGTCCCCACCCTAACACTCTCATGGATAATTATGTTGTGTCTGCCTTCTTCAGAAAATAAGTATATGCTAACATTAATCCTGCTTTACCCAAACATTGTGCCAAAAACCTGGAATTCTAAGACTGTTGTCTGAGTCTTATTTATCTAGAGTTTACTGCAGAAGCTAAGGGGAAAGCTGCATTTCAGCACATTGTATTTCAGCCTACACTGTTGTTAAGTCCAAAAACAGATATTCATTCAATATATCCATATACCTTGTAAGCCACATATTTTAAATTATCTTATAGCCACATTAAAAAGAAACATGTAAAACTAATTATAATAATATAATCTCAATTCAGACTGATTACATTTTAAGCGCCCAATAGCCACATATAGTTTAGAGGTTATCCTGTTGGACAGCACAAATCCAAAATAACCACAGAGAAACTCTTCAGTACTAGGGTACGGTGGACCACTGTTTGAAGGCAGATCTAGAGACAGATCTATGTTTCGTGTGTCTGCTCTGCTGTTGTGGCTGAGAACAAGAACACCTCCAGGTTGTTTTAAACTCAGGGAGAGAGTGAACCAAAAAGAAAGTCAGCAGTGTGGTACAGCCAAAGATTAGCATTGGAGGTAGCGAGATTAAAGACAGTGGCCAATGGCAAGAGTCACAAACAGATGATGAACACCCATCAGTCTCCAGGTAGTGTGGCCCATTATCAGAAAACCAAAAGCACATGAGAACTCCTGGTTTAATATACCAAGTTTATACTCTGAAAAGTAACTATCACATTTTGTTCTCTAGTAAGTTATATTTTTTTCTTTAAACTCTAGACACACCTGGGGGAAAAACTATTCTTAGAAACTCACAATTCTCCAAAGAAAAATACCTAAAGTATGAATCAAAAATTAAATTAAAATGG